GATGACGCAAATTCTTCTTTCTCATAATCATGGGTAGTAAGTATGTTCTTCCATTCAGATAAGACGATGATGTCTCATCTCCAAAAATTAACCAACACACTTGTGTCTCAAAACTTTCAAAGGTGACATACGAGTACCCTTATCCCCTATTGCACGGAAGTTGGTACGTAGGCACTAAAAGTTCAAAACCGGAGCGGGTGAAAAAATAAAAAATAAAATACTTCTTTTCTCATCCCCCAATCTATTTTTATACATTACTGTAATACGATGGGAGAACTGACTTGGGTGTCTTGCGTTTGATTGCAATTATTGCGGATAGCAAGAGTCACCACTGACTTTTCTTTTATCCAATAAGGAAATGGTGAAAAGAATAGTAAATACCTTTGATATATTTTCTTGAGTTTGGGGGGTAGGTTATGAAAATGGAAGGTGTTAGAACCTTTTTCATCCATAGTTATCTATGGGCTCTTAGTTGCTTGCTATATCACTTTTGAAATTTTTTTGTTTGAAATGTGTTTGTGATGGGTTTTGAAAGTATTTATGAAAAGCGCCTTTGTTTAGGAAAACTTTTTAATGATTCTAGTCTCTATAAGAATACATACAGAGTGTTGGACGTTTTGAAAATATTTCATGTTTTTGAAAGTGTTTGTTGTGTTTGAAAAGATGTTTATTTTTGAAGATGGATTGCAAGCAAGCAACTAAGAACGTTCTACCTACTCAAAAGTCTTTTGTTCATTTCATCCTCCTTTAGATGTTTCTACCTTACCATTGATTGATAAGAAGCCCTGTCTTTGGATGTCAAAGAACATGCATGGGTCATCGTATAGTCATAAATATCAATGTTGTGAGATACCTTTTACATTTTTTCTTAAGGGACTATGATCTTGTATTATTTTATTGTTTTTGCTAACATGTCTCACATGCATAACATTGATATTTATTTAAGGCAACAAAGTGGAGTTAACCCTAGAGGCGTAAGTGTGCAAGTGTTTTGTATTTCATGCTTGATTTATCTTGAATTAGGGTTTGCTAAGCATTGATTTTATCTCTCCATACAAATCCTAATTTACTAGCATTTATATGAAAGAGATAAATTACGAAAAGTAAATTTCTACGCTATTACATCATTTGGGAATGGGGTGCACAAATTACAAATGGGGAATTGCAAGAAATTAAATCCTAATTTTCTATTACAACCATATTGAATTTGAATAAATGTACAAGAAATGAAATGAATATAATGTACAAGTATGAATGAATAAGGAATGTATTTTTGTTTGGATTGTTTTTAAGAAAGATAGTTTTGACCTAATTAACTTAAAAGAAAATAATTAACTAAAATAAGAAAATTATAATTAAGTTAATAAAAGAGATTAATTTATTAAAGAAAACAAGCTTTTTTAGGGGTTTTTTGTGAAAAGAGTTTTAATATTAACTATACTAGTATGAAATTAATTTAAAATAAAACATAAGTTCTAAACTAATTAAAAGAAAATAAATTAAACCCTATACTAATTATTTGTTTAATTAAGAAAAAGAAATGAATTAAGAAAAAATGTTTTTTTTGTCGTTTTAGTTTAGAAAGACATAAAATAAAATAAATATCTAAATATAAATATAAAATATTTTTTTGGCATTTTTAATAATATTAATAATAATAATAATAATAATAATAAAAATAATAATAAAGAAAAGAAAAATAAAATATAAAATTAAGTCATGGGTGTAAAAATAGTTTGAGGTGCATGAGTTAGCATAACAGATTTTTTATTAGGCCCAAAAGCCTTTTTTTTTTAAATCAGAAAAAATTAAAAAAAAATGAATGGGCTAGAGGTGCATAACCCAATATTGTTTGTTGTTAGTAGTATGAGTAAAAAAGGGGGTGAGCGTGAGTAAGGGAGCTAGGCCTGGTTTGTTTGAGTTGAGGCCCAGAAAGATTATTATACAAAAAAGAAGGGTGTAAGAATGGAATTATGGGTTTATACACGTGGAAAAGAGATGGGCCAGTGTTGTTTGTGTTTTTATGGGCCTGATAGTTTGTTTAACACAAAACAAAGAAAAAATATGAGACAATGTCTCATTTGACGGAAAAACTCTCTCTCTCTCTCTCTCTCTTGTTTTAATTTCCTCTCTCGTTCTCTGATAACTCTTCACCGGAGAAGAAGAAGCCACCGCACTGGAAATCACCTTACGACGGCGAAGGCGACGACGATGTTCCAAGTCCTCATTTTTCTTACATTTTTCGCTTCGTTTCTTTCTCCTCTATTCTAATCCGTGAGTAAACTTTGAAGATTTTGCATGGTTTGGCGTAGATCTTAAAGGGAATGGTTGAAACCCTAAAGGCTCCGATTTGGCTTCTGTCACTTGTTTCAGTGAGATCTTTCCTCTTTATCTCTTCTTCTTTGCATCTCTGAAGGGTATGGTTTTAGAAAATGATAGAAAACTTTGTTAGGGTTTTGATGTTATGTTTCAATATATTTATTGATGGATGATTGTTAAGGGTTTTTATGGTGGCTCGATTTTGCTTTGATTCTGTATATCTTTGAGTATTCTCTGTGAACAAAATTTTTTGAAAGGGGTTTTCTGTTGTTGCTATTTTAGCCTATGTGTTTTTTTTGTGAAAAGAAGTTGAAAATGATTTTTAGGGGAAAAAATAAGTGTTGCTGTTTGTTGGGGTTTTCTGGCCTCTGTATCTTTTTTTGTGAACTCGGTTTTTATGTTTCTTATACCGTGAGTTTGTGTATCCAGTTTGGCCTTGGGACTATTTTTGAGATAATAGAATTGTGACTTTTTTCTGATTTTCTAAACAATGTGGTACTTTTACTATGTTGACTTTGCTTGCTTGAGATTGTACTTGTTTGCTGACTTTGCTTGCTTGAGGCTGTACTTGTTTGCTGACTTTGCTTTAGGTTGTGCTTGTTTGCTGACTTTGCTTCTTTATTGTACTGGTTGTGTTTGTGCTTTGATAAACTCTGGTTTTCTGTGAACAAAAGCATTGTACTTGCAGTACAGTTGATTAGCCTGTGATTTGATTTTACAAATTCTGAGTTTTTTCTTTGAATTGAAACAACAAGAGGCTTGTGATTTCTTGTGTGAACAAATGATGCTAGTTCTAATTTTCATGGATTTCTTCTTTATCTTTTGTGAACCATATTAATTAATATTTGGAAAAAAACTACTCCTAGCTAATGACGCCATTCTGACTTTGTATGAGGCTTATTTTTTTGGTTGGGCCTAAATTTTGTCTTGCACCTTTTTTCTTCTATTGTGAACCAAACAAAACTTTGTGATTTGGAATAAAGTTCTTTAGGCCAATGATAGGACAATGCTTTGAGGCCTTTGTTGGGCTTAAATTCTGACTTTTGAATCTTTGTCTCTTTGGGCTGGAAATATGGTTGGAATTCTGTTTGCATTTTTTCTTCTTTTGTGAACCAAACAAAACTTTGTGATTTGAAATAGAAATTGGCCTATGATAAAAACCCAATTGTTTGAGGCTTTAGCACATGAAACATCCCTCTTTTTCTGATTCCATAAACCACCTAATGATGAGTTTAAATTGTAATTTTCCGCTTATTTCCATGTTTATGTTTGCTAACAAATTTTTCTTTTGGTTTCATGTACAAGATGAAAATGGAAAGATCAAGGAGGAAGTTTGAAGACACTTGAAGATGAAGAAATCTATTATTTTGTAATAGAATAGAAAAAAATAGGAAAATTTATAGTTTATGCTTTGGAAAATTGTAATTAAATTTTGTAATGATTTTGAAATTGTTTTGAATTTGTACATAGATTTGGAATTTTGAATAATGAACATTTGAAAATTTGAAAATTTGGATGTTAAAAGAAGAAAAGATGTAAATAAATAATGTGATGGGTTAGAAAATAAATGTGAAAGAATTTGTAATATTTGAAAGAATAATGTGATGTAAGTTATAATGTTGAAAGAATAAAAAATGTAACATGTTAAAAAAATAACGTGATGTGTTGAAAAATAATAATGACGCAATTTGATTCGCCGTCATGAATCAAAACCCTTAATATGAGACAAACTCAAATATAGGCTTGAACATTGCACAACTATTGAAACACGAGCCTTGATCTCAACAAGTATCACATCTTCACGAGTCAAAACCCTAGCTCAATAATAAAGGACAAGAGAAATTTTGAAGACCCACAAACTTAAACCCTCGATGAATCCATTGACATATCTGTAGTCCTGAGAAGCTTTGAACAGTCGAAAAACCCTAGAAGAAAATCTTAAAGGAAAGGGAGGGCAATTTTTTGGGTACAATAATTACCTATAGCTAAAATAAATAGATTTTCAAAGAGGTTCCGGCGGAGTACCGTAGATGTTTAGGGTGCTAATATCTTCCCTTTGCATAACCAACCCCCGAACTTAGATTCTCTCCCCCTCTTTTGGATTATTCGCTCAGCCTGAAAATAGATGGTATCCTAGCAATCTGGGCGCTAGGCCTATGCAGTTGAGTCCAAGAGCTCTTTTTTTGTTTTGATTTTTCCCAGCCATGCCAAAAACATGTGACGGACTTAGAGAGCAAAATTTCAGAGGCCCGGGTCCAATTTCCTTTAGATTATATTTTATCTTCATAATTAATACAACAAACAAATTAATTTAAAAAAATGAAAGAGGGATTTAGGGTTAAGATGTGGCTCCTCATATTCTCAATCGAAAACTCCCTCCTCTCTCTCAATAAACGGTGTCGAGTACCACTTGTCTCATCTCATCTTTGTGACACCTAATCTTCTTCTTCGATAAGCAATGGCGCTTCCCTTCCGGCACTATGCATCGCCGTATCAACACCATAACCAACGCAAAAACTCCACTAGTATTCATCCTCTCACCTTTGATTTGCTTTTGTGTTTCTTTCATCCTTCTACTTCGTGCGTATGGCGGCTCTTGTCTCTCCAGTTTCAATCCTGTTCGCCGTTCATTATGTTCCATTTCGAATCAATCGGAGACCTCACCACCATCGACCTTCCATTCATGATTCGTTGTGCAGAGATATTGGTGATGTTGAAATAGAGAAAAAACTGTTGAAGATCGAAGGTGTATGATAAACGAAGCAATGATGTAGATGATGCGTTCTGAGATGAATAAACCGTGATGTTGTTGTTCCTTGCGATGATGATGAAGACTCGGGAGTTACGGTGTTGATACAGAAGGTGAGGGAATGATCGTGATGATCAAAGAAGATGAAGCGGAGAGAATTGAGAGAGTTTTTTTTTTGTGATTCTTCTGCAGTTTTTTTAGAATGAATCGATGCGATGTAATTTTCTGCTTTTATATTTATGTTAGTCTTTGTTCTTTGTGAAACCGATGTGAACCATTGAATCATAAAGTTTGTTACAACATAGAGGGCTGAGATTGAATCTGTTATGAGCTGTGATTCATGAGCTGGAAAATTTGGCTTCGTAGTATTTGATTTCATCACCCACGATTTTCTCCTTTTTCTAGTTATATCTTTCTAATTTCCCTGATATTGCCGAGCTGGAAATTTTCTACTGATATTTTCTAAATACTTGAACAGATACAGGGAATTATGGTGAGCTTATTTTTCTGTAGGTTTCAAGTTTGGTGCAGACATGGAACTGTTTTGACAGTTTGTTATTTTTATTAGAATTTTTTTTTGAAATCTATTAAAATAGTCGGCTAAAGTTGTTGGTGAAGCTTGAATTTAGGGCTGGTTATATACATAACAAGGTTGTTTAAGTGCAGGGTAGTTTATTCATGAAATTCACGAAGCTTTGGTCTGGATACAAGAATTCGGGATGCAAGGCTTGATCATGTAGATTCTTAGAAGCTTGGATAATTTGTAAATTGCTTGAAGTAGCTTGAACATTGATCACTAGCATGAAACTTAGGACCATATGAATGTATTTTGATGTATTTCTTGTGATGGTAAGGATAAAGTTGTAATGATACTTGGAATTGTAATCTTGTATGCTTTGAAAATACCAAGATAATCCTTTGACTATTCAAAGTATTTTCTTCTAAATTGAATTTTGAATTCCAACCTCCTTTGATCTTAAGCCCATAAAGTCCATAGTGTACAAAGTTTTTTTCGATTGCAACTTGAATAGATCATGCAATACCAAACTGAATAAATCACCATGTCTCAATGTCTTCAAGTGAATGAGTGCTCCTTGTAATTCTTTGGCTCTTGAGCCTTAATTCAACATTCTAATCTCAAACTTGCACGATAAGCAACAAATCTTTGGAAGGATGATGGCGCCTTAAAATCCAATAAACTTGCACTTGAAAGCAACAAAAATTGAGAGAACAACCATGTTTTGATCATAATAAAACCCTTGTTTTATAACTTGTATCATGCTTCAGTCTTTTGTAACTCAATCCTTAAAGGCAACCTAACTTGGTAACCAATGATATTAGGGTAAATGCCTTGAAGAAACCCTTGAAGAAGATAGGACTTGAAGCAACAGAAGTGATGATGATCACAAAACCCTAATCAATCTTCCCTTGATGAAAAATAGAACCACAGTAAACATGAATCAAAAACCTAATTCCAATTCAATGCTTATAGAAGAATCAGATGAAATAAGCTTTTATTGGATATGTACACCACAAACACTATCACACCCTAACTTGCACATTCACTGATCTTTTGAACCTATAAGGGCCTTATTGAATGCAATGTTATGTTAATGACCTAATGGAATATATGCAGATGAATGCAAACCCTAAGCCAGATAAAAGTAAATTTATGAGGGAAAATTTTGGGGTGCAACAAAGGGAAACCTCGTTCTCTCTTATGTATGGTATGGAAGCAGTGCTCCTCGCCGAGGTTAAGATTCTCTCTTTGAGTGTGATAATGGAAACCAAGTTGTCAGGGGCTGAATGGGTCCAAAAAAGGTTTGACTAGTTGAATTTGATTGAAGAAAAGAGAATGACGGCTTTGTGTCATGGTCAGTTATATTAGAAAAGAATGAAGAAAGCTATTGATAAGAAGGTCAAGCCTCGTGAATTCAGATAAGGCGACCTTGTGCTCAGAAAGATCATGTCTTTTAACATTGATTCTAGGGGAAAGTGGACTCCTAATTATGAAGGCATGTATGTCAAGAAAGCCTTCTCTGACGGTGCATTGATTCTTGAAACTATGGATAGCGAGGAGTTCCCACGTCCCATGAATGTTGACACAGTTAAGAAATACTTCGCTTGAAGAAATAAAAGAAGAGCTCGCTAAGTTGAAAACTCTTAAGGGCAGCTTAGGAAAAAAAGAGCGTCTCGGTAGGCATAAAACCCGCGAGGGAAACCTAGGCAAAAGGTAGGGATTTCTTGGCAAGTAACTGCGTCAGACAAGATTTGATCATTGAAGCAACAATCTTCTCGGATTCTCATCACACATCAACTGAAGCCTCTGCTCAGGAGTTCAAAGTTGTTAGGGAGAATAGTGGTCATTGTATTTCAATGTATCTTTTCCATATATTTACAATTTTCTAAACTTTGTAATCATCCATGGAGTCATGTCATTTGCGAAATATCATTCTATTAATAAAGTTTGAGCCTTTATCCAATTCATTGTAGTTCTTATTTTATTCTGTTTACAAAATTTTCATTTATTATTGATAGTAAGTTTTAAAACTAAAATTCTTAATAATAAATAAAGTTTTTGAAAATAATTTGCAAATTACTTACTTAAAACTTTGTGATTCAAGTGGGACAAAAGTAGTGACTCCAATGGTGGAAGAACTCCAAAGTTTGAAAAAGATTCCCTAAGAAGTATCCCGAATTACTCTTGCTAGTATGCGCGTAGTCCCCTTGTGTTGGATTTCATGCTAATTGATACATGGTGCGATACTGGGTTTGTAATCCCATCTCCCCCCAATCAAGTATTGGTTCAGATTTTCTCCAAGTTATTATGTAGTTTTAGGTTTGAATGGTTTGATACCTCTATCCTAGATTCCCATGTCAGGTTTCGATGTGGATATCTCTAGCTAGGTGTGATTCTTTCCCAGCTGGGTTGTGATCAAACGTAATTTGTAAAGCTTATGCAGCCTTTTGTTCAGTGATGAAGCTCTTTCTCCCTTTTGTGTGTTGAGAACTGATAAAGAATCCCTTGCTGAACATTACTCTCTCCAGTTATGACGTTTAAGTTTGTTGTGTTCCCCCCAGGTAGCCAGACAAGGGAAGTACCTTTTTAAGAAGTGTTGAGACAACTGTTAAATTTTTGAGTTTTCTCTCGCCAAGTGCTGAGTTTGATTTAAAATCCCCATAAATTTTACTTCCTGTTGCATTGTTAACTTCTTTGATACCGAAACATAGAAAAGATGATGATTCTCTCTAAAGTTGTTATCCCCATGAAGTTTCATAATTTCTCCCCAGAGAAGTTTGCACAACCATTACTTTTGATATTAAAGAATGAATTTTGGCTCCCCTTGACTATGTGGCGTAGTTTTCGCTAGTGAAGTCAGTGTGGAATCCGTAGTTGAAGTCTAGACGATATGACATTGTCTTCCCTAGTGAAGTTTGTATGTTATTTCCCGGTAAAGCCCGGAGGAGGATGTTATATCTTTGAAATTGTATTGGTTTATTTCTATCAGATTATGCTATGATTATTTTCAAGCCATGTTTGCTCAGTTAGTGCTTACTCTCTTATGGAATGATCATCCTAGATATGATTTAGCCGTGTGTTGACTTTACCCAAGTTGGTTTTGTACGGTTATTCCTAGTGTTGTAAGTCTATTTTGTAAGCATATACATGATAACATTCATACATACATCATGCATAGCTAAATTAAAATTCATTGCTCATTTGCATTCCTTGATGTTTTTGTTAGCATATTACCCTATTTGCAGAGTTATGTTACCCTCTATCCAATAAATTTACAACCATAAGCATAAATTGTATATCTTTTCAATTTCCCCACTGAGTTATCTCTCGTGGAAGAATTTTGCTTTAGCCATCCTATTCAGTTCATTATCTGGATGGAATATGATCCCAATTTGAGCTTATTCCTCATTGAGTGTTGTCCTGGTTTAAATGTTGGTCCCCAAAAACATATTTATTTTGATTTCTGCAGGCTTTGAGCCCTTAATTACGAATGTGCATTTATTTTGCACATAATACTTTATTACCTCAGCAGGAATGTATTGGCACTTCCTTAGAAAGCCAAAATTCATTTTCCTGCAGTGTTATCGCAACCCTCTTCATAAACAACAAGTGACAGTTCTCTTTATTTGAGCAACTTGTTTTCCCCTGTAAGTCTATCAATTCCAGAGAAGACTTTGTACTCCAATGGATGGTAGTCTTGTCATTATGGGATATAGTTCGTTGTTGAGATGTTTTACTCTAATGGATGGTAGTATCGTCATTATGGAAGATAGTTCATTGTTGAGATGTTTTACTCCAATGGATGGGAGTCTCATCATTATGAGAGATATTTCATTATTGAGGTTTTACTCCAATGGATGGTAGTCTCTTTGTTATGGGAGATAATTCGTTGTTGAGATGTTTTACTCCAATGGAAGGTAGTCTCGTCATTATGGGAGATAGTTCGTTGTTGAGAAGTTTTACTCCGATGGATTGTAGTATCAGAATTATGGGAGATAGTTTGTTGTTAAAGTTGTACTCCGGTGAATGGTGTCTCATCATTATGGGACATAGTTTGTTGTAGAGATGTTTTACTCTGATAAATGGTAGTCTCGTCATTATGGGGATAGTTCGTTGTTGAGATATTTTGCACTGATGGATGGTAGTCTCGTCATTATGGGAGATAGTTCATTGTTAAGATTGTACTCTAATGGATGGTAGTCTCGTCATAATGGGGGATAATTCATTGTTGAGATTTGTAGCGGTGAAAATCGGAGATCAAGCTATTAATTAACTTGACTCACAAAAGCAAGAGTCGCCACCGCGCTTTATTATATCCAAGGGAAAAGGGAAAAGAGCGAAATAAAACCCTAAAATATGCAATGTAAAATAAAAAGTAATACAATGCGTTTTTTGAAAGAGATCGAGAGTTTGGGGGTTGGTTATGCAATGGGAAGGTATTAGCACCCAATGCATCTGCGGTACTCCGCAGGAACCTTTTGAAATATCTGTTTTTTGGTTTAAAATTGTTTGTTATATACAAGGGTGTATGTATCTACAAATATGTTTGTTTAAGGGGGAAAAACGAGTTTTTATTATTGCGTTCGTGAGGGTTTCGCGACCCTTTGCCTACGTATCCAATGAAGGAATCAAAACACCGTAGTTCCTCTAGAAAAAAAGTTGATTTATTGGTGTTTTTTAGTGGGCGACATTAACACACGCATTCTAGCAATAGGCGTGGCCGGTATCGCGGTAGAACGGAGATAACATTCCTCTTGCATCAATTTTCTCAATTTTCTAGCAGACAACAGACCATCTTCTTCTGCTCCAGGAGTAGAAAACTTCACCGACTTGTCATAACAGTTAATATGAACACAATT